AATATTAATTTTATATTTTATAATATTATAATTATTATAATTATTTACAGTTCGCCGATGATTCGATTCTATTTAGCAAGGCTGTGGAGAGGAATATCTGGGCAGCAAAGAGTATAATGAGAATTTGGAGTTGGTATCGGGATTGAAGATTAATGTTGTGAAAAGCCAACTCTTCGGTTTAAATGTCTCTGTTGAGTGGAAGTCAAAAATGGCCCACATCTTGCATTGTAAGCAAGGAGCATTCCCCTGCAAATATTTAGGGGTACCTATTGGTGGCAGCATCAAAAGCATTGCACTATGGAAGCCTCTGATCGAGACTTTTGAGAAGAAGTTGAGCCAATGGAAAGGTCGGTTTCTCTCTTTTGGTGGTAAGATAACTCTCCTTAATGCAGTGCTGACCAGTCTTCCGGTGTTTTCTATGTCCGTGCACCTGCTCCCGAGAAGTTTGATTCTTTCCTTAGATAAAATACGTAGGAATTTTCTATGGGGAGGCGGGGAGAGCAAGAGGAAAATTAACTGGGTGTCATGGGATAAAGTTTGTAAAAGTAAAAATGAGGGCTAGCTAGGGGTCAAAGATCTTAGAAATTTCAACTTAGCTCTGTTGGGGAAGTGGTGGAGTAGATTTGCTAGAGGTGATGAGGGGCTGGTTTTCAAGGTCATTTATCATAAATATGGCAGGCCAGAGGGTAGCTGGATTGAATGGGTTAATGGGAATGGCCATAGGGGGTCTATGTGGTGGAGGAACATATGTAGAATCGACCATACTGATCTATGTAACACGGGATGGTTGTCAGGAGGGTTTAGACTAAATGTGGGGGAGGGATGTTTATTTAATTTCTGGAATGACAATTGGACAGGGGACCAACCCCTTGCTAATAGATTTTCTAGACTTTTTCTTGTTTCTACAGACAAAGAAAAAAGAATTTCTCAAATGGGAACATGGAGGGAAGATAAATGGCAATGGACACTACATTGGAGACGGTCACTATATGAGTGGGAGGAAGACAATCTTATCGAGATGCTGGAGATCATTAACAGCACATTGCTTGTAAAAGGCCAAAAAGACTGTTGGGTGTGGAGGTATAACAAGGAAGGAGAATATTCTGTCACAATAGCTTATGGCTTGCTCTCTGGCAACAACAATAGCAACACAACGCAGACACATGTAAGAGTATGGAATAAACTCATCCCCACAAAAATTTGTGCATTTGGGTGGCAGGTCCTGTAGGATAGAATACCCACAAAACTTAACTTGTACAAGAGAGGAATCATTCTTGACGTGAATCAAGTGATGTGTAGCTTATGTGGAGCCAATATTGAAGACGCCAACCATCTCTTCATTCACTATAGTGTGGCCTACTTGGTAAGAAGCAAATGTGCACAATGGTGGAGACTATTATTAGTTCACCCTATGACTTGCCAAGAGGACTTTCAGCAACACCGTCATTCGAACAAAGACCCTCTAATAAGAACAGGGTGGGATGTAATATGGTTCTCCATCATGTGGTCCCTCTGGATGGTTAGAAATGCAAAAATCTTCAAAAATCAGGAGTGGGAAGTGGACAGAATTGTTGAACTGGTGCAGTTAAGATCCTTTAATTGGATTAAGGGCAGGACAACGGGTTACTCTTTCAATCTGTACGAGTGGATGCTGGAACCAGCCCTAACCCTCAAAGACAAAAGAGTTCAGCTGAGTTTCAAAAATTAGAGGGCGAACAGTTTCTTGGAAAGCTTCATTGAACAGATACTTTATTGTAGTGTGTGTCCTAGACCTACTATTGGTTTAGTTAAGCTGTAGTAAATACATGCTCAATGTCTCTGCATGCCAGTGGGTTGTTATGTGGAAGTTTATTTGATGATCAGAACAGGGTGCTCGAAGTAAACTGCAACGGAGGACATAATTTCGATATGGGTATAGTGTCGACACTGTTGGGCAGGGTTAGTCCACTCTTGTAAGTTTATGCCTCTCTAATATTGATGTTTTAAGGATTTGAGGTACCCCTTGTATTCCGATTATCAATATATATCATTTTGTTATTTAAAAAAAAATATTATAATTATTATAATTATATCTTTAATTTATTATATCTAACTAAATTCTTCAATGATACACTCTCCCTATTCAAATTTTGTTTTTTTAATTTAATTTTTTAATTTTTTAAATATAAATTTCATATAAAAATTTAATCATTTATATAAATAACACTTAAAATTTTCATATATAATTTTTATTAAACATATTTATTAATAAAAAATGATTATTATTTATATAAATATTAAATTTTTATTTAAACTTTATATTTAAAAAATTTAAAAATAAATTAAAACTATTAAATTTTAACGAAAATAGTACAAATGTACAATTCAAGAAAAAACCAGGGTCGTTAGTTACGGACCACACAGGTCCAGCAAGAATTTATTTATTCCTAGAAAAGTCCTTGACGGATATACAAAACCTAATCACCTCGATGTGGTGCCCACAATATGCTCGAAAGTTGTGTCATCTTAGAAAAATCTGCTTCGCCTTTTCCCTGCAATCACTCCAATTATATTTTCTGACAATAAAGAAAAAGATTAATAACACTTTCCTAACTAAGAAACCAAAAACATTTACCAAAAAAAAAAACTAAGAAACCAAAAACAAAATGACATTATGACCTTTTCAGGTTTTTTTGCCAAAAAAAGCGCAATGGATGGACCTTGGCCTCCGGGCGCCCTCCCCCTGGTCCTATTCTTGCTTAGGCTTGTTTGTGTTTTTATTTTTGTTCCTCTTATCTTGGTTTTCCCTATTCTGCTCACTTTAGGTCAATATTTGATTGATAGTAGTAGTTATTTTTTAGATTAAATTATAAAAATGAGACAAATTTAACAAATTTTCTTAAAAAGTTAAAAATAATAAAACTTTATATTGATAATTTTTTTATTAAACTAAGATATAAATGAGGAATAAATATTCTTTAATTGGTTGGCCCAAAAAAAATGGATATTCCTTAATTAATTAATTGTTAAGTGAAAAGATCTATTTACACATAAATTTTATATATCACATTTATATAAAATCTCAATAATTTATTTCTTCACTTTTAATAATTAAGATTTATTATAATTTTTTAAATAAAAAATAATTATCTTTAATAAATATAAATAAATATTAACTATTAAAAATAAAGAGATAAATGATTGAGATTATGTGTAAGTATGATCTATAAAAATTATATATAAGTGGATCCTTACTCATTTGTTAATATAAAAGAAAAATCAAATAACTAATAGATTAATAAGTAATGGATATTACTTGACTCTTTGCTAATGTAAAAGAAAAAAAAAATTAGTCATGAGGTTATGTTTGGTCAATATAATAGCTATTCCTTAGTCAAATTATAAAAAATAAACTAAATTTAAAAAACTTTCTTAAAAAGTTGGAAATAACTAAGTCTTGGTGTTTATAATTTTCTACTAAATTAAGGGATGAAAGAGATATTCTTTCTATTTTCTTAAAGAATAGGCATCTTTTTTTCTTTTTTTCTTTTTTTTTTTTATCTTAAGGAATAGGCATTCTTGAGTTGTTTACTAATGTAAAAGGGAAATTAGATATTACTCCATTTATTTTAAAATAATTATCATTTTTTATTTTTTTTAAAATTAAGGATTTTTTTGATAATTTATCTATTTATTTATATTATATATCCTTAAGAAAAAAAAAGAAGATAAAAGATGAACTTTTTATGATATGATAATAATAGAGTTAAAATGGAAAAAAAAATATTTCTTTATCTTAAACAAATAATATTTTATTCGAAATAAATTTAAAATAAAAAATAATTATTTTAGGACAAAAGGAGTAAGATTTAGCCATCGTCCTATGCTCCAGAATCAACACCAGGGAAGAAGTGCAGTGGATGAAACCTAATTGATTGAGGATGAAATTTGTGATAACTAACTTTTCAGTGTCCGAGTCTAATTAACTCGTACTTTGCTACGATTCTTAGACTTTCTCTGAAATGGCAATGCAGATAGACAGGTGGTTGAGGGGACAAGTATGAATATTCAGCGGAAGTTACAAAAACTAACAAGAGTTTAACTGAATTGAAAATTTTTAATTAAAAATTTTTAATTTAAAGTTAATATCAATTTAAACTTTTATAATATCAAACAATTAAGTCTCAAATGTGGCAAAAAAACAGAAGTTACAAAGTCAGACAATGATGAACAAACATAATAAAAAATGGAATATCACTCTCCACTCTATATGATCAGAGGAAACCATGCATGAAGATGCCTAAGTTCAGCTATAAATAATTATTTCCTTTCCTTGTGTCATCCTTTATACACCAGCAGGATCTTTCTACCAGAAGATGTGAAAACATTAAAAATAAATAGGTGACTATCATGAGAACTCAGAGACAAGCATATACAAATTTCAGCATCAAATTAACATAAAAATCCAGGGACACTACTTGTCAAAAGAATTACACGATGAAATAAAATTTGATTTTGCTGATCAAGAAAACAAATTTTCAGCATCAAATTAACATAAAAATTCGAGGACAATACTTTTCAAAAGAATTACATGATGGAAAATTCAATGCCTTAAAGAGAAAAGATAGACACAGGAAAAGTAAACTTCATAGCAGGCACTCACATGCCCCATTCAAATGTTTTGAATAATTCAAGTTGGCAAGAACAGGTAGAACAGCTTATATCGAGCTATTTCAAACATATTTTCTCGACTGAATTCAAACCTTCCTTAGTTATGCAAACATTAGTTTTCGAGCTAACTAGACCTCATGGTGCACTTTGTGCACTTCATCTGCATTGGATTTAGTTAGGTTAATAATTAAAATTTTTTGTATTAATAACAAACTAAAATTATATTAAATTATTCTTTTTGATAATTACTAATATTAAATGTAATAATTCAAAAAAATAATAACTAATAAATAAACAATTTGCTTATTGATGCCCCAGAGCTGTGTCCATTATGTTCAAGAAGCCACATTGTCCGCAATTCAAGGCCTCAAATCTTATCAGGATTATATATTTTGATAACCTTAGTAATATGATGCTTTGCTTGATTGTTTTTCTTTAGCTAATGTGTATTATTTTATTACAAACAAAGTATTACTTAATATTTATGATGTCAATAAGGATACTGTCATGGTATTTAATCATGTTTTAGTGCATTGTTATAATTCTTTTTATCTACCAGTACATCATGCTTGTTTGTCTCTACATATCTCTTTATTAAATACCTCCCATTGTCTAGTTCGTTAATAAAATATTGAACTAATCACATACCATAATCTCAAAATAACTAACGTATCATAATCAACCCACTCTCAGAATTTAAATTGCAATAAAATTCCATTTCACTAACCAAAGAAAGAGAGACTGAAAATGTCCATCCAAATCAACCACTAAGGCTTTAAAATTACAACAAAACCCTAACATTAGCCTACTTTACGAACTATGCAAAACCAATATTGAATATATCTAATTTTGTGCAGAAGTATCAATTTCACGTTAAAAATTTGCGATCGATAGCCAATAATGAAACGGGAAACAAAAAAGACTGCCCAGAAATCGCGTAGTCGTCATCTTCAAGATTACTGTATTTGAAAAGGCTCCACGATTCTCGATTAGAAAGGTGAGGAGTAGACTCTGGCGGCGGCATAGATGGCAGGAAATCGGAGAGATTGGTCCTAGAGGAGGGGATCGTTTCCTCCGCGCAGAACCGCGACTAAACTAAAAACCGTTCAACCAATATTGCAATTGCTGTTCTTCGAAGAAAAACAGAGACATTGTTAGATGGGTGCGGTTTCCGTTAGGGTTTTGCACAGGGAGAAAACGGACAAAGGCGAGAATGATAAGGGGTGTTTCTTCGACCATTGGGTTTGGCAAGAATGGCGTTTTCCTAAAGCGGAATGTTATCCGGACATTGATACTACGGGCCATGATGAATTCGGACAAGAAGAAGGTTTAGCCCAACAAGGTTAAATAATCCATTTACATTCAACCAAAACAAAATCCCTGTTTCTTGTTTGTTTCGTAACATTTTTTTTTTTTTTATGGCTGTTTCGCAAAATTTTTTAATGATAAAGAAAAGGGAAAGAAACACATGTGTCTTAGGAATCTCACCTCTATATATAAACTTAT